ACGAGCTCAACACGGTGTTATGGGTGCACCGCACCACTTTCAAAGTGGCAACGGACGAAACCCCGTTCGCGCTCACCTACGACACTGACGCGGTGATACCCATCGAGATAACATGCCCAACCTATCGGGTCACGGCATATGATGAGGCGGATAACAATGAAGCACGCCTGCTAGACCTGGAGCTAGCACAAGAGCGACGAGAATTGGCGGTCATCAAGCTAGTCACGACGAAAGAGCAAGTAGCCAAGTACTACAACACGAAGCTAGTCCCGCACAAGCTGATACTCAGAGATCAAGTGCTGCGCAGGAACTTCCGCCCCAACCCCAAACATGGCAAGCTCGCTTCAACATGGGAAGGCCCGTACCTAATCCGAGAGGTTGTCGGCGCCAACACCTTCAAGCTTAGCGAATTGGGCGGCGTCAAAATTCCACGAACATGGAACGCGCAGAATCTCTGGAAATATTATTGCCCAAATTGATGTACTATTCGCGCATAATATTGACTTATTCGCTCCAAGACAACTAATTGTGAATTATTTGCGCCTTCAAAGTTCGAAAGAACAAAAAATAGCAATAACTAAGAGTTATCGCGCTAACACAGTTCGAAAGAACATAAAATAGCAATAACCAAGAGTTATTCGCGCCAACACAGTTCGAAAGAAAAAAAAATAGCAATAACCAAGAGTTATTCGCGCCAACACCGTTCAAATGAACAAAAAATAGCAATAACCAAGAGTTATTCGCGCCAACACAGTTCGAAAGAACAAAAAATAGCGATAATCATGAATTATTCGCGCCAAGACAGTTCGAAAGAACAAACAATAGCGATAATCATGAATTAAAGCGCCAACAAAGTTCGAAGGAACAAACAACAGCAATGAGCACGAGTTATCTGCGCTCACAAAGCTACGCGGGAATCGAAACGTTTTGGATTGCATTAGCGGGAAGAGTCTTGACAAATACAAACGAGAAAGAAAAGGAAGAACTACGCTTGATAAAGAAAAAATATTTCAAAACAGCGCGATTACACTTGCTGATCCGTCGAAGCATCCTCGGCGTTCGTCTGCGCCGCATCGCCCTGTTCGTCCTTCCCCGCATCGCCTCCCTCGTCCCCATCCTCCCCCACATCCGATCACGCTTCCTCCTCCTCTTCATCCTCCGGCTCTGAGTCCGACTCCAAAGATCTCTTCTCACCCAGCCAAGTTTGAACATGGCGCACCATCGCGCGAGTGTTCCAGCGGACCCCCGGGATCTCCGGTCGCACCTTTTTGCGAATGGCAATCACAGTCTTAGTCATGGCGCCCGCCAAAATCTTCCCGAAGGAGGGCGAGGATTTGTACTGAAGGACGGCAGCGACCTCAGCGGCGCGCACAGCTTCTGCCTTCGCAATGTTATGAAGGCGAACCAGGTCCTCATTCTCCTTCTGGAACTCTTCGCGCGCCTGCTTCAACTTTTCTGCATAATCGGCCTTCATCTGCTCCCGGATTAGGCCGCGCTCCTCAGCCTTCACGCGCTCTTCTGCCGCCGCCACATCAGAGGCCAACTTGCTCTGAAGGCCTTAGTGGTTGCCACCTTCGCGCAATTCTGAGCTCCCGCGAGCTTGCCCTCCAGTTGGACGATCTTTGACTCTTCCGCCTTCAGCTTTGCGAGACCCGAAGCTCGCTCCTTCTGGGCCCGGAAGGTTGCCAGCAAACCCTGATTCAACGCTACCAAACTCAGTAACAATTCCACTTAATAAAGAAGGCATATAAAGCGCATTGCGCAAACAGTTCGAGCACAATCCTACCGCGAAATGAATCTGCGCTAGATCCTGCAGTGGATCAGATTTCTCCATCCGCGCCGGGACACTCAGATGAGGACCCACCGCGCGGAGGGCAGTGTTGGCAGACACGCTGTTGCACGCCGCGCCGGTGTGGAGCCGCACGTCACGGAAGTAATTGATGGCAGACGCCATCTCAGGCAACTTCTGCTGAATGATTGCGCCCGATGAACTTCCAGCCGCCTTCTCAAGATGAGCAGATGTATCTACTCGTGCGCCCGATGCTTCAGGCTCCACAACCACCAGCGGCAATCGCGGTGCCGCCCGCTCAGCCTCTTGCTCAGGTTGAACAACAACTCGAGCCGCCTTCTAAGGCTTCTCCGTAACTGACGGCGCCTTGACCTCCTTTCTCTTGACTTGCACAGATGGCGCGCGATCTTTCTTCTTCTCAGCGCGCGGAGCCTTCACAACGTCGTCGACCGACATCATGCTGACCAGGTTGGAGAAGTCAACACCTGCGCCAATAAATCGTACGAGAGCGGTTAATATGATAGAATGCATAAGGAAAGAAACGCAACTAACCATCGGCAAAGAACTCCGCCAAACAAGCTTCGCGGACCCCGCCCAAGTACAAGTTAAACTTCTGATTCAAGCACGCTTCATATTCAGCGTCGAGCCTGTCATATTTGCCCAGGTCCGACTCGTAGCCATGCGTGCTACCCTTCTTCCAAATTGTCGGCTCCTCCATATGCTCACTCGCCCACTCCCCCGGCGTTGGCTTAACATAGAAGAAGCGCTCGAACCAAGTCTTCTTCAACTTGGGAGACCCATATACAAAACCGTCGGGCCTTTTGTCGCGCCGCCTGATTGAGAGGCAATCACTATTCTTTGTTGGCTCATTGATCTTGTACATCTTACGGAATAACCCATAGGACGGCGGGATATTGAGCCTCTTGCACGCGAGGCGGAGGCAACTCGCGTGCATAATAACTGAAGGGGAAAGGCGACCAACCGAGCAGTTGAGCCGCCTGTAGATCGCGCACGGCAACGGGTCAATGGGGAACTTAAACCCCATCACCCAATACTCTGTATACACCTCGATCCACCCTGCGGGGCAATTACCGACTGTGCTCCGCGTGGAAGGAATCGCGTACTGCCAACTGGGGGGGCAAGCCCAAACCGCATACAATCTCCATAACTTCTTTCCGCCCTAGATTGACGTGTGATCGGGTCCCCGCATAAGGCTGTCCCGCGACTTCGGCTCATCGCCCCACATCTCCGCCCAGTATATAATTGTGTAGGCTGCCCTTACACCGCGGAATCCTAAAAGGCTAACCGCCTCCAAAACACGCGCGATGCAGCGTGGCTCTGATTGCGTATCAGACCCCTCGGGCACCTCGCGATTCGACCCCCCAGATCCTCCAGTGCGGTCGCGGCGGATTATTAACACCCCGCGATCACTTGTCCCAGCCTGCCTACTCCCAGATGCTATCACACCCGCATCCGCATCAGAGGAGCCGTGGAACCCTTGTTTCGAATCGACGTCGAACGCAGCGTCGCCGGAAACTCATCGTCATCAACCCTATGACCACCCCCGTTTCCGAAATCATCCAGATCCAGTGAAGGATCAGTAGAAACATGCGAAGGAGAGGAGAGATTACCTTCTTCGCCTTGCATGACCTCGATCTCGTCGATGTTGATGCTATCCATGGCAAACTTTGAATATTTGCAACAGAAAGTAAGAAACGAGGTTGTAGAATAAGGAGAGGAATCTCGAAGATGAACACGATTCAGAGAAAGAAAAAATCGAACTCGAAGAAGAAGAATGAGTTCTAGGCCCCGATAGCAAACTACTTATAGTCGGCAACGGAAGCTGAAAGGTTAAAGGTGCATCGAGAAACGTAACCGTCAGGGTCACTTCGAATTTCAAAACGGCCGCCAAAACCGAGCAATCACACGAAGACACGTGGCCACCTATTACAGACGTAGGCACTAGCCGATGACGTCACATGCTCCGCACATCGCCTGGGGGGCATGGCACACTCGCGGAAAAGAAAAAAAAACACCCTAAAAAACATCGCCTAGGGGGCAAGGCGTTACGCGAAGCCGACATGAGAACTCAGCACAACCCTAATCAATCGCGCTACGGCCGAACATCGCCAGCCCAGAATATCTAGCGGAGACCACGCAGATCCGAGTCGGTAACGCGCAAATCAAACAGGCGGCATTCGCGGAATACCCCCTGATGGGGGGCAATTGTTGGGCATGTGACTCGGATCTCGCTGCGCCAAGGAAGCACTCCGGTCCCGCCGCCATGAGAGTCGGGCGCGTTAGCACCAGCGAAGCGCGACAGCGCCACCAACATGAGGATCGGGCGCGCTAGCACCGGCAAAGCGCGACAGCGCCACCAACATGAGGATGTGGCGCGCTAGACCTGGCGAAGCGCGACAGCGCCACCAACAAGAGAGTCTGGAGCCTTGACACCGATGAGTCCAGAGCCGCACCACGAACACCGAGCGACGACGTTTAGACCCAGAGTTGACCAGCCCAGCAAGCCATGGAAACGACGCCGTTTCTCCTCGGAGAGTAGTCACCATCGTAGTCCTAGGTAGTCACCATCATAGTCCTAAGGATAAGAGGGTGAATGTGCTTGTCCTAGGTAGGGGTAGGGGTGTGGTTTAGACCTCTGACATGTCAGTGGTCATGTCACCATGTGTCTCACCCACCACCATGTAGCCTATAAATATGGCATTTACTCTGGTGGGTGGGGCGATCGGATTTTTGCAGACTCTATCTCTAAGCAAAGAATGAACTTCTCTCACTAAAAGACACTCTCTCAACTCTATTTTTCCTTCCTTTAGTTCCCAAGCTCTCGGCTAATCCTTGTTGTTCATTCTTCTCGACCCATTCTCGTGAATCTCACTCTTACACTCAGTTAGGTTCAAACAAACCCCTTAGTTATACACTCCATTGAATGAAATAAAACTATTCAAATAACTTTTAGGATCCCACAATAAACAACTCTTAAATACAACAAGAAAACTAGTTAAAATTCACTTTTGGAGAATCAATACTCATTTCCCCAAATTTTACGGTTGCACCGGAACATCATAAACCTCCGCCCCGGACCCCGGGGCTTATCCGCCCTTCAGATATATATGACTCTACAGCTCTGCCAACGTCACTCACGAGTCACGACCCAGCCATAGCAAATTGGAAATCAAAGAATCTTTCTCGACAACAACTCCCTTATTCTTTATTAATCACATTCATATCATCATCCAACTGAGCAAATGAAAGCAACAAAAGGTGCGCAGCTGAACCGAAATTCTACACACACGTATGAAACGAGGAACTAGAAGAGACACAGTCAATGAACATTGTTAACAGTCCATAATCCATCCAACTCTGGAAACTTGGTGGTCTTTCCCTGCGATGAACCTCAAGTTTTGGGAACCTTCGACCAAAACATGATATTGTGTACTTGTTGTTGTACACTTTACTAACCGAGGTAAGAAGGGATCCTCCGTATATAGTACTTTCTGTTCCATTTCTTCAGGGAGCCGATCCAGGGAGCCATATTTTGGGCATGATAATATCCCACTCTTTCTTGCCCTCGTTCCAACCATAGAAGCTCGTGTCGTTGGCTTTGACCCGGCAGAAGCTCGACTCGCAGCGGGCCTGCCCATAATTATGATCACCGGTGCCGTTCCTCGAGTCGTAGATGTAATATCGGGGCGTCCCCATTTCGTCAAACTCCGAGAACTTCCCCACGCAGAAGCAACCCGACCCATCGGCGGCCGGCTGGAGCTGGAAAGGAATTTCCTGACCCGGCGGAATGCTTTGGGGCGCTCGTTGCGTCAGCCCTTCGTAGCACGTGACGTAGACGACTGAGCTGCTCAACAGCGGTCTCCGCTCGTTGCTGACGGACACGGTGGTGGTCGTGTTCGCTCCGGTGAGCAGCGCCAAAACGGCGACCGCGGCGGCAATGGCAGCGATCTTCATTGTTTCTGGTGGAAGATTTTGGCCTTTTCGGTTCTATCGGTACTTTCGTTTCAAATGATGGGATATATATGTGAAGTGGTATGTATATTTCTATTGGGTTAGCTAGGAGGAGAGATTTACTGTGTGGGTTTCATCGCGATTCGCTAGAGGTAGGGCAAGCGATGTGGGGTTCTTTTTTTGACGTTATAGCTAAGGTTTGTTAATCTGGGCTTTTAGATGTTATTTAATTTAATTGTTACGTTAATTATTAAGTTTTTATCGGAAGAAAAAGACAGTGACCGCCTGAGAGGGAGTTGGGGGCGTGATGGAGCTTTTTGTACATGGGCTTGTGGCCCATTCCTGGCTTGCTCATTAATTGTCTCCAGCCCACTAACAGCTGGAGGGAATTTTTTTTTTGCCTCATATAGGGTGGGGTTGTCTTGCTCATAGTTGTCATGCCAGTGGCATGCAGGTCGGTTGAACCTGGTTCAACTGGTATCGGTTATGAAACGGCTGGAATGCCATTGGTAGGGGTGGAAATTGGGGTGAGTGTGGTTACCCGTCCCACATTTTGTGGGTAACCACACCCACAAATATAGAATTATGCTACCCACAACCCGCCTCACAGTGGGTAGTGGTTAACCACTATCCACTTCGGGTTGGTGCGGGTTGAATGTGGATACCCACAAATCTTTCCTTCTTTCACCATTTGGACTCGTATATGATAAACCTATCGGTCGAGTGAAGGAAAAAAAAACACATTGAGTTCAAACTAAGTAAAGAAGCCCAAGACATGGAACGAGCGAGGGTATGGTATTCAGAACCTCCTAAGTAGTCAACCCCCCTCTCCTCTGTTCACTTCACTCGCTTAATTTCTTTAGGAAATGCATACTAATAACGAGTATGGGTTGGAAGGGTTCTAATCTAAATATACATTGCATCTTTATCAACGGCATGACTCCTTTGCTTTTTTATTCGAACTTTTAGGGATAAATGGAATTCTCTCCCAAGTTGCGGAATTAGCATCCTCTTACACAAAAACAAAAGCCTACATAAAAGAAAGTTAATAAAGTGTTAAATAAACTATAAACCACATTTATTGGCTTTGTTTTATTATAAAATAAACATATACCACGCTGATAATGCTTATTTAATAAAAGTATATCATACGAACACAGTGTATTGACTTGTTTTTGTTTTATTAAATAAATATATATTTGATTTTCTAGCCTACTTTAATTTGTAGCATTCTACTTTTCACATAATTTAATATTACAAAGTATATTAATATATAAATATACTTAGTGTGGTTATTGTGGGTTAACCGCTGTGGGTAGTGGTTAACCACTAACCACAAAAATCAATATTTTGCTACCCACACCCAACCCACTATCCAAAAATTGTGGGTATGGTTACCCACAATGTATGCGGTTTGGTGCGGTTTGTGGGTTACCCGCAATCAGCAAACCAAACTTCCACCCCTAGCCATCGGTATGATGTAGTGGTCAATGCCGGTCAAAATCGAAAATTTTGGTGGTTCAACCGGAATTTTGATTTCCGGATTTCTTAAGTGATACACCCCTGTGGCTGTTTTGTGTTGAAATTGTAAAAAAAAAAAAAAAAAAATACTGGGTTAGGTTTTGCCCGCCATCCCGCATCCCCCTTTCACTCAGCAGTAGCTCCTTCGCGAGCCCTAAACTGCATTTCGACTATCTCTGTGCCTATTCCTTTCTCCTTCCTCATGAACCCGACATCAAGCAGATCAGCGGCGAAGCGCGGCGAGATTCAGCGGTCGGAAGGCGCGACAACTTTAGCAGGTGCGATGAGGATCGGCAGTCAGTCTCCGCTTGGATCTCGGTAGGCAGTAGCTATGTCCGAGTCTTAGTGTTCCCTGAATGCTTGGTGCTTTTGGCGGCGGCGTTTGCGAGCTGTTCGTTCTGATTGCTTGTGGCATCGGTGGCGTTTTGGTTTCATTCCAGGGCTTTGAAAATTGATTGTAGTTTCGCTTCTTAGAGCGTTTACGGAGAGGAATGCAGCATGTAATCTGCCAATTTTTGGAGTCATTAGCTTTAGTCCACTAACATAAATATGTTTTGTTGGTTTATTGGGTGGGTCCAAAGAAATAGAATCGTAAGTTTAGGCCCCGTTTAGTATTGTTGCCTGTTTTTGTTTTCTTTTGTGTTTTTCAAGATTAGAGAAATCAAGAAAAAAAAAACATGTTTAGTTGGGTTTCTATTTTTTGTTGTGAATCATATTTGCACAACAGGACCCAAATTTGAGAAACAACAATTTATTGCTTTGGATTTGATTCTTGTACATGTTTTACACGGGATTCCCGTTTGTTTTCATTAAAACAACCCTCAATTCGAATCCCACCTAAAGCAAAAAATTTCTCTTTTTTTTTTAACTCCCAAACCCACCTCCAAACCCTAGTCGGCCAACCCTACCCTCATTTTCTCCCAAACCCGCCGCCCAACAGCTCCCTCCCTCTCTCAACTTCTTCCTCTAGAGACCCAGGCCGCCGATATCGTCCATCTCCCCCTCGTCGTCGATTTCGTCCCTTTTCTCCCGCCGCCTCCCTTTCCCCTGTCGCCCGACCTCGCAACCCCTGCCGCCTCCTCCTCTCGATTCCCGTCGCCGACTTCGAATCCTTTCCCTTCGCCGCCGCCTCCTCTCTTTTCTGGTTTTTAATTCTAATAGTAGTAATTGAACGCGTTTTTGTTTCTTGTTGTCTGCTTTCATTATTTTTCAGATTATCAACTAAACAGGTTTGTGTTTTCAGTTTTTTTCTGTTGTGGTTGTACATATGTTTACACAACATCACTGCAACCACAATAGCAAGAAATCGATACTAAACGGGGCCTTAGTTTATGGATCCGCATGAAGTATAAATAATTCGTTTTTATTTATTTATAAAATGGGGGTATTGCTAGTATATATATTCGTTCTCTGGAACTGGAATTTCCTTAAAACCGGCATGAGCCGTATAAACTGGTTGTACTACTGCTAAAACCATTTCACTTACGAAACCGGCGCACCAATATAAAACTGGTTTGACAACCTTGGTCTTGCTGAAGAGCTCTCTTAGCGGTAATAGTCTCTTTTCGAAAGAAAAAGGTAAGGTGGCACCTAAAAAGTCATAAAATCTAATTCATGTATTTTTATTACGTTTTTTCATGTCATTTGGTAATTATTAATGTAACTTAGTGTTTATTCACGTAAGAGTTATAATTATTTACGTATATGAAATTTCAAACCTTTTTTCTCCTAATTATTTGAATTAGCCATATTTTTATGGGATCAAATATAGATATTCAATTTTTCTGTAAAAATGAGCCACATTGATCATAATTTACAAAATGACATTTATTTTCATATTTTTAAAATTTAAAATTTGAGTTTACAACAGTATGGATGAATAACAATATGCATGATAAAATCAGGTTGCGTTAATAAACATTACCGTTTGCGTAAATAACCATCACTATTACGTGAGTATACACCAATACGGCATGGATAAACACAAATTTAAGTAAATAAATGCAGTAATAATGAATTAGAAGTTGTGTTTGTTTGAGTTACACTAAACCTTTTCCTTTTGGAAAATGCTAACATAGTAGTTAGCCAAGTTCCTCTAGAGGAGAACCCAATTAAAACTCTCCCCAGCCACTCATATGACTAACTGCACATAATCACTAAGAAAGTGATTCCATTGTGGATTGGGAGAACTTGTGTATAGAAAGATGAAATTTTTTATGTGACGAAATGTGAGTTTGTGATAACATCTAAATGTGTTATAGCTATTGTGAAAAATGGTTTATCTTAATAATTTTATATAGACATTTAATATGAAAAATATATATTGAGTCACAAAATTTTATGCAAATATGTAGAGGCTCAAACTGGAGCGCCCCCCCCCCCCCCCCCCCCCCACACATTTTTTCATTTGATTATAATTATTTTATTAAGTGAAATGGAAAAATAAATAAAAATGGGCATATAATTTCACGTCATATGCCACATCAACATTGATTAAATTTTCCATTAATACTAACGCTCAACGCCGGTCAACACTAACAAAAAAATATTTGGTGGTAGAATTGTCATATTATATAATTTGAAAGAGAAATGACATTTTTAAAAAATAGTTCGGAATGTAGTGAAACTGTCAAGATACACGTTACCATTACTAACCTGGATTCTTCGGAAGTTAGCTTTCTTGTCCTATATTAGTATATATAAAGATAAATACCATTTACTGTTGCCTAAAACAATTATGTTTCCATCATAGCGCGTGGCCTACACTAGCCATTTCCATTCTGCGTCGTTTTTCAGTTCCTTACTCAGTTACTCCTGTGTTCTACCTCTACATTTTTTCAAATGCTGTTATACAAGTTTTTAATTTGAGAATCATGATTAATGAGTGGATCTCTAACTATCCTCTCCACATCCATCATCCTTTCCCCTTTTTTGCGCCTTCAATAATACACCCAAACCATATTCAATAAATATTTGCAGGTGTATTTTATTTTACGTAAATGCATTAATCACTAACCAATATTTTCACATGATCTTATCAATCCGATTAATCGGTTCCACAATTCCACCAACCATTTTTATTAGGTGTTTGGTATAGATTTCAAATGTTTCAATGACAATTTCAACTCGGCCCGTTTGGTATTTTCGGACTTGACTGGACGGAACATGGGTTACTACTTTCAACCTTGCTCCATCTCGTGCCATTCTTGACTGTCTTATCTCATTTTCTTCAATTATCTATTTGCATTTCTCTTAATTTGACTGACTATTTAATCATATTTTTCATTCAATGAAACTTGAAATAGGTGCACGACTTTTTTTGCTCCCATTCATTACATCTCATTCTCCACAAGCAACTTTTTTTTGCTCCCATTTACAAGCTAATTTACCACTTAAAAGAACCTAACACACGACAATAAAACACAATTTCCACACGGTAACTTCATAAAACCTAATCAATGAGCATTCGAAACTGAACACTAAACGAACAACTCAAATAACCGCAGCTTGCGCGGCAGGTCATCTAGTTTCCTTCTTTAACTTCAAAGTTGTTTGAAGTATTTATACTTTGTTTTGTCGAGACAAGTTCTTAGTTTTGTTGAGACATTATTATCTAATAAAGACAACCAATAACATAATAAACCCACCTTGGTAAAAAAAGTTTTTTAAAAGAGAAATTTCAAAAAGAAACTCTGTTGTAGCCGGTTCCGGTTAAAGGGTGGCCACTTATTTCTCATTTCTCTCTTCTCTTGTCTTCTTTCTTACCGCTAGCTAAGGCAGCTTGACTGTAGCCGGTTCCGGTAAAAGGGTGGCCACTTATGTATCATTTCTCTCTTCTCTTGTCTTCTTTCTTACCACTAGCTAGCTAGGGCAGCAACTTGAGCGAGACGGTCGCTTATCTTCACTTGGAGTCTCGAGCTCTCCAGATCCAGTCGGTAATTTGTCTGCCTTGATTACCTCTCTAGTCTTGAGAGTATCGTTGTGTTGCAGCTATCCAACTTCGTTTGTCTTTGCTGTACGTTGCAGCCATGGGTAATGTTATATGTTTATGGCGCAACTTCAATCCATCGGGTGGTCTACTAGAGAAAGATTTCAAGTGGTTGAATAAGAATGCGTCCAGATTCTGTAATCTTCTCGGGGCTAGAGTTAACGTTAATTAGTTAGTTAATTTGGATTTTAGTTTGTTAATTAGATGGCTCCTCTTTGTATTGATGGATGATTTTGGTTGTTGTGTAGTGGATTTGAGTCCTTCGAACGTTCTTGACAATCCATTGCTAAGGCTCACAAAAGAGCAGGTTGAAGCTGTGGTGCAGCCGGCAAATCTCATTGGGCAGGGAGGTGGAGGGACTGTGTATCGTGGGGAGTGTCGTCCCACCCTTGAGGGCGAGCTGGTATCACTAGTAATTAATGAAGTTTTCATGGTATTTAAAAGCTAAGTAATCAATTATATGATACTTTAAGTGTTGTTTGTATGTAGGTTGTTAAGGTGTTCAAGCTTCGAAAGCAAAGTGATGTTGAAGCGCTGCTAATGGAGGCCACAATTTTGTTAGATAGCCAGCACAACAACATAGTTCGATTGCTCGGATTCTTTGGCGAGCGACGATCGCCGACTCTGGTTTTCGAAATGCTCCCCCGTGGATCGCTGGAT